CCCCGCCCCAGGTGACTATGCCGAGCCGCGGGAAAGACATAAATAAGACCATAAACAAGAAGGCTAATATTTCGGAAACTGGAGATTAGTTTACTGTTGAGATTCGTTCTTTCGCCATCGCTATACAGTTTCTATCACCGTTTTCCCAAATGTTGAAACCTCTATAAGTATTGCGTAGCTACCCATACATCTGCCGTTGATCTGCAAACTATAGATACAATAAACCTCGATGAGTGTTACCACAACACTACAGAATGCGGCACCTGCTTATCAATGGGTCGCATAATGAATTCCTTGAATCTATGACATGACAAATTTCAAAGCAGTTTCATAAGAGAAATTCAAAGACCCTGCTATATGCTCTTGACAGATTCACTTATTCCATCTCTACATTGTTAATTTTGCATCATGCCGCTCCACTGAGAAATTCAAAAGAACTTCCCGCTCAATCCATAAAAGTCATCTTTCAAAGAACTCCGTAAGGCCATGCATTATCGGCAGATAATCACCACATTCGTACATGTGCCGAGGAGTTGCCGCAAAGATAGGTTCGACACGTATAATGCGACTGGGGTGTCTCAACTCAAAATAAGTATCTACCAAAATCGTAGATTCAAACTTCAGTTTCAAGGTTACTTGTCAGATAGTGCTTTAGTGTCGTTCCTTTATCATTATTCTCATTTAAATAGTATTGTTGTCGAAATCTATCATATGTCTATCCAATGATCGATCTATGTACTTCAAAGATGTGTTGAAGAATAACTAAGAAATCATCACAGGTTTTCCTTATTCCCCCAAGATGAATATCTACCTCTTGTGCTCACTACAAAAATCGGTTGTCCCTGTAGAAGCAGATAGATATTATCTGTTCTTTGCTTAGAGAACTCTCTACCTAAAAATCGAGACCATTTATAATCACAAGAACTTTTGGGAGTAGAGCCACGCGTACCGAAGTAGCTTCGAAAAGTAGTAGTAACAAAGCTCCGCTCGAAAGTTGGACTCCTTACGAGCTTCTCAATGTTTGTTGGTAAGGCTATAAAAGTATCTATTTCAAGCCGCCATTGACAAATCAGTTCGAAAGCGCATGCAAAGGACATGACAAGGCAAGAATGAACGATGAATCCCGCTATTATACCGTCGAGGCCTGGAGGCCCGAAGATCATACCGAAGTGTGATTTCAGTATTACTTCTGGCTCATTCGTCATATTCACTGCTAGGAACTCTGATTTTGCTATCACTTGGTTTATTATTATGTTTCATGTGCTGTTGAAGTTGCACTAGTTTAACAACATTGTCGAAGTATCAGTCAGTGTATCATCTCGAAATAAAACATCACTTTCAAAAGTAGCCATATCTCAATCTATCTAGCAATCATGCTCTGCAACCCGAAAAGAGCCTCCTCATTCTGTTTCGAATCATAGGACTGGCGTCCTGGTTTAATCGAGGTTTTCCAATTTGTAATTATCGATATCCCTCCAATTTCTTCACTCTCCAGGATTTATATACCCTCCTGTCTTGGATGGCTCGGATGACGAGACTGTGAATCAACTTCGAATGAGAGATGGTCGATATTGTCTAGTTCCCGAGTTAGTTGGCTCCGCAGATTCCCCGCGATAGAGTGAGATGGTGAAGTATCTATCTAGTATAAAATCTACCATGAGAAACCTTTACAAGGGTAAGATCAACAGCTTAGAAAGTCTAAAAGCAATAAGGAAATATCTCATTGATTTCCCTTGGAACATAATCTCAGATGTTGTAGGTTGCCAATCTAGTGAGATGAGGCACACCCCGAAACTCTCAAGGGGATTAGTGTTCATTGTTGTCATCCATTACTTCTCGCTTCCATTGCCATCTTCCAGTTTCATCTCATAACGCTATTTTTCTCCTTATCATCATCTATGCCCCCGAAATCGATTTGTAAGGATATGTCGCGATATCATTTCTACTCCCCACAACCTCAAAATTCGAATCAAATCTTTATGGCACCAAACGAAGAGCAGAGCGCCTTGCCTCCGTGTTAATGGTACTTGGTTTGTCTATGACGAAAAGGAAGATCGGTTAGGTCAGTTTATATCTTTAATTTGGTGCCAAGGTCAATGCTGGCGCGAACTGAAGATGGTTGCAACTCATGCTCCGTCAGGTTTCCAGAATAAGCAAGAGTGATGTAATGACAGTTTCGAATTTTCAAGCCGGCTATACTACCGGTGACATCGTCGCAATCTTTCTTACATCTTGAGTCAATTCGAAATCGAGAACTATCAAATAGCCGCGCTTAAACGAGAGATTGAACCTCGGAAAGAGAAGTTCGTAGAAAAAAGATAGTCCAGGTGCAACTTCAGTAAGAATCTCAGTATACTAATCTTGAGGATTTCACATGGGATTCTATACCTTTAGTGCAACAAACACTCACTTTTTGATGTCTAGTCATATTACTAATGTTTCCACTGTCGATTCCACGGATTGCCACTTGTCGTTATATCTTTAAGCCTTATCGTTCGTTGTGAACAGGGCATACTCATCTACCTGCCGTTCCATATGCTTATGTTTCATTTTCAGATTACATGGATATATTTACGAGACACAAGAACTGCCCATGAAAGCTTTACTCAGCATATCAAGTGTCAGGCTCCCTTGCCCGCAAACTTGCTTGGTTTTAGACGATTCATGGTGATATAGGGAACTACTAAACGACGTTTATTTACCAGTTCCCTGAATATCCTCCTGAAGTATGGTCTCAGAGAATATGTGGAATATGGATGGGGGCTTTGACTGATGTGGTTATTACTAGTGAATATTTCATGAGGAGATTCAAATTATAAAAGGGGCATCTGTTCCATTCTTGCTTGCTCATTAATTCGTTTACAGAATGACGCAGATGAAGGCTCAGAACTTTGGCGTGGGCACCCGTTACTGCTGATTCATGTGTGGTTTCCTTGAAACTTGTATTATGGTGTTCTGGAACCCAATCGAGCCTATCTGTGTAAGATTGACTATCAATTATCCTTATTTTTTTACTCTCAACTCCTTTCAAATATTACTTATCATGTTTTTGTCACGTCATATTCTCATCACCGTCTTTTTAACTTCACGCTCATCAAACATCAGCCATAGTCACTGCCCCGACCTGTCACACACCCTTTCCCCTCAACGAAGAGACATGGATTCCAAAATCTAGTAAAATATGAAGCACACGTTGTTCAAAGTACACATCTCTTTTTCCTTAGCTCCCTGGAGACGGGGGTAGGGCTTCCATTCTAGTTCAGTCAGGCCCAAGTCCACAATTTCCTCATTTATTCACCAAATTCGCCCCGAGAATTAGTCATAGTTTTGCCAACGAAGAAATCAGGCCAAAGGGATATATCATCTACCTGTAATCACTATAAAGAAACTCCGAACGAACAGAGGAAAATATTTCTCTGTCACCCCCCTTACAAGAGCGTCAGCCCGATACAGGAGATATTGCCACACGGTGTCCTTCATGGCACATCTTTGATATTTCATTTTGGGCTTCCTAGCCTACCCAAGGGGTTCCTGGCAAAGTCACAACTTTCGACTTCTAACACTGTTTTCGTTGTCAAGAAGTTTTATCATACTTTTTACTATCGTTCTCTTCAAAAACATCATTCATCATTACTGTTCCACCACTGCCGGTAAGGAACTCGATATATCAGTTTTAATATTTAACCAATAAGCTCAAACTGTATAATTGTTCTTATCTAAAAGTTATTCCTCTACTTCCTCTGCGAGAATCCATGCCGCACCTATAATATCCAGGTCAACTAACGCATACACCAATTGCTCGCCAATACTATGAAATACGAAGCTCATATATCCGCTCGATGAAATCCCAGAGTCATCTGAATCCGAAGTGAGCCCACGACTAAGATTTCATGCGAAACATCTCTCATTTAATACTTGTAGTAGAGAATATGAATGAGTGGGGTATGGACAATATTCCTCCTATAAAGGGGTCCTTAATAACATCTTTTAAGCTTAACGGAGATATGTAACTTGATATTCAGAGACTATGACTATGGATACCACTCGGTGCGTCCCAAATGTAACTCGCGTTTCCTGGAAGGCTGCTCTGAAAGGTAGTTTTTCTCTGGGAATATCTAAGGATTTACATAGTTACCGCTTTATCATGTGTTTTGCTGTCAAGATGTCCAATTCATATACTATATCGATACTATCATCCCATCGCTCTTTCGGTGTCCATATCTTTTTACTTAATCCAGATACGCATCCATATAGAAAATTATATAGGCGTCGAGGTGTGATTTAATGCAAATTGTATCTCACTCCATCCTGTACCCAACACGATAAATGCTGTCGCGTGGTGTTTATTCCTGTCATGCAAAAGCACCTTCACTACCTACTGTAGATTTGATACTATTGAATCCACATATCTTCGATCCTGATTCTCATCTTGATCTCTTGTTTTCTAACCTCTTTTAACTCATAATCCGCGTCTCACTCAAAAAAGTTCGTGAAGAAGATAAATCAGTATCACTCAGTGATACAATTTACTCACCTAAGGAGCAGAGTATTATACCCTCGTACACCCTCAAAGATTGAGATCTGAAATACTAATACTACTATCATCATCATTAATTGTGACGGATCTGAATGATACTATTCAGAGACCAGATCTTGACCCATCAACCACAAGTACATTTGCAATCACGATTATTCACTTATTGGAGACAATTACTATTATTGTTGCGCATTTTAGAATTGTATAAATGTAAATCGTACTAGTCTCGGTATCACCTCAACCATATAAAATGCTCATGGTAACTATGAAGCACCGCCAACCATGCAATCCCCAACCATTGACGAGGAAAAAAAGCTTCATCGCGGATCGCTCAACTCTCCTAGATTGGCGCATGTTGTTTAATTTTCAATAGTGTTGTTTAGGCAAGCTGCCAGGTGAATGTCAAGATTGTAGCGCGGTTGCAGTTTGACTGCCTTGGATCATTACAAAGTATCAGTAGCCTCTATCTTGCTATGTAGTTATTAGCATAAACTTCCGACAACAAGTCATGAAATGTGGTGAAAATCGACCACTTACTTGATAGCGTGGATACGAAATGAATGATACCAGCGAAAAGAACGACACCAACAATTACCCCAAGAATCGCAAAAACAGCCATCGCTATCTTAGTAACAACGAAGCTATATTTCTGGAGCGACTGAAGTTCTTGTCGCTCAGGTCCATGTCGAATCAAGGGAAGTCCATCTTCGTCGATGGCAGCAAGCAACTTCGTGTCCATTGTGTGCATTTTGATTGTTTGAGTGTATGTGTCGATGATCATTGCGGATACCGTAATGAGAGCCTTTGATATGTCTGAAATATCCATGATAACTCGTTAAAACTGTTAGGAGAATAGATACAAGTCGAGTGAAAGTGATTGTATTCCAAAATGTCTCGATCATAGTGTTGGTACCAAATTTAAATCGAAAACTTGATACGATAATGTTCTTAAAAGTAAGAAGATAGGCTTCGGCATGATAGGAGACATGATGAGCAGTGCGGTGAAGCTTTGGTAAGCGACGAACTCCATCGCTAGTTGATGAGATGACTTTGAAATAGACAAGAATCGTGTAGATTGTAAAAGAGTATCAGAGTTGGACTGGATAATTTTATTATCTAAGAAGTTGTTAAATGTTTGTTGAAATAGAGAAACTATATAGGAAACTACTACTGACTACTGTTAACGACTGCTGTCCGTTGCTTGAGCCCCCTTCTGGTTCAGGGGCATACAGGTAAGATTCTTTGTTCCGAATACAACCAACCACCTAGAACTGTATATTTCTTCTCCTACAACAAACCTATCTAAATCATATCTTGGCGTGGATTTCCTGAAAACAATTGAGCAGACCAGAATTCCGAATCCATTGAAATTGGTCTTTCTTTCTTTTCAGCTCATCTAGCGAATGGATTTCTGAAATGATTCTAAACCTATCCAACTTTGCAGTCTACATTGAACTCAACCCTTTCCAAACTCAATCACTAACTATAGGAGAAACCATGCAATTCAATACGGCTTCATACGGTAGGTTTTGCAACTGAGCTGGCATAAGCATGATACGGATGTTCGGATCCAGAACCTATATTTGCACACCGTAAGATAGCAGATGTTCTCAGAATACCGGAGCATGATTGACGAGATCGCTTGAAGCGATACGATGGGAACTTAATCTATTTCACAATACACAACGCCCATTAAACAGACTTTTCGGTCGGTTTGTGACTTCAGCGAGGGTTGAGATGCTGTGTCATTAGATAAACCTTTGGTGCTTTCACCCCAGAGCCCCTTCAATGCGAAGCACAAATCTATGGTGACTAGTGAGAACACCTTGCTATTGTAGTGAGGGCATCGCTTGGAGAAAAAGGGTCTGATATTTGGAACAACAGGGGATATGAATTATGAGATTAGGGAGTTGGTATTAGAATGATAGAGAGAGGCCACGTAAGAAGCCCTTCTTTGATGCTGCAATAATTGGGTTGTCTTTTGCTTCAACTCTGGATGGTTGGTGTGAATAATAGGATGAAAGACGTCAAAAGTCTAATATATCCCTTGAAGAAGTCTCTCAGCTGTAAGAGCTCAGCCGTTGGAGTATTCCTCAATAAAAGAAGTAGGGTTATTGTATAAGCGAAGCGGGCAACACACAAACAAGCGAATAAGGGGTCATGAAAGAGAGTCAAAGTTATTCAAAAAGAACATTTTATCATCATAGAATCGATTAATCAATTAAGATACTCAATATGAGAGAAAAATTTAGCTGCGAAGCAAAAATCCACAACACCATTCCTAATAAATAGGAAATTACTTGAACATTAATAAGATGAATAGGAAGAGGAAAATTCATCAGTTCCATTGATTTTATAAACTGATGAATCTCACCTCTTACTTACTCTTCTCAAATATACTAAATTTTCTGGATCTTTGTACAAGTCGTATTTTCCCGACTTACGTAGAACTGTATCTATACACTGCCAATATGATGAAACATCTTAGGCTTCGAATTTCCGGCACTCTTTGTTTTCCCTCCAGATTTTGAACAAAAATGTGCCCATTCCAGTTCAATCAGAAGCATATTAATGGTTCCTGTAATTATCATCAACGACTCCTCTTATTGTCATCAAGCTTGAGATTTTCACTTGCTATCACCGAATCATCACCTAGCAATTCTTCACCCGCATTTTCATTCTTCTTCCGTATACTTATCCACTTTCTCTCGAATTGCCCTTCGACTTTCACCCTCTGCATCACTGTGAATACTCACAAGATTGAAGCTCCATACTTCTTGCAGTTGACAAATTTTACGCACCTTTACAAGAAAAATCACAAATCGAAGATAGTAAATGTTTATATACCTCAATTTTTATCTCTGTGAATCCACTAATCGCCCCCATATCTATAGCGGCCTCTTGTCGCGTATCCCCTTCTATTCTGCATAGCGATAGATTTCCAACTCCAAACGAAGGGGGTGGATTTTTTCGCCCTGTCTTTCATACATTGGCTTTCTCTAATAGCTTTTGAAATCCTATCCGGATCTCAAATATCCCTGTACGAGAATGTTGTTTTGCTTCCTTGTTGTCGACATTCTCAGTCATTGACTTCTGATTCTGATGATTATTGTTATCAAGAATAAATCCTGCACTCACTCCAATATTAGCGTTTTAAACTACCTCACCATCCAAGACGTTACACTCCACACCTCCACAGCCCGCAGCCCCCCTGAGTTGACAATGGACTCGACTTCAGCCCCGTTGATACGAAAAAAACTTGATCTTGGAAGTACCTCTATATGCTCTTCTCTCGTATCCGCTTTCTCTGTTCTTCCTTCCCTATCCTCGGTGTTTCGTTTTCGATACCTGTATCAACTTACTTTTATTTATTCTATTTATTATTTTCCTCCCTCCCTCAATCCCTCTTCCAATCGTATACATATACATGTACATATCCCATGCCCCCCCTCCCTTTCCCCCAATTCCCACACCCATCCCCTATAAAGCCCCCCCCTCCTCCCCTCTCCATCCCCAAATCCCAAAGCACCCATTCCTTATCAAGTACCAACACTAGGAGCCATCGAGATTTGAAAGCGATGCCGTACCTAGACCAATTCACATTCATACTATTCATTAAGTGTACTACTTTTATTGTCACTTTCGTTGTCATTCCTATCGATTTATCGATTCATTGAGATTTCTATTTCAAGTGTTGAAATAATTAATAGTGATTATTGTCATTTCATAAATCATGACCAACTCACAAATTGAGAATTATTATTATCATTACCAACACACGAATCCATACCACCCTATCGTCAACTTCTTCCACAATCTTTCTTTCCTCAAATACCCTCTGCCCTACCCATCTCGGTCCTTCCCCAACTTTTCCCCCTAATTCTAATCCTCAATCTCATTTCTCATTTCTCACCACCCAACCCCCACTACCCAACATCTTCCTCATCCTAAGCTGCCTTGCAATCTCTCAACTCGACCCACAGAAGACAGAAAGAAATCCCAACCATCCATCTATTTATTCTCTATACAAACTCTATACCTTCCCACCTCTTCTCCTGCCCTGCCACCTTCCACTAACCATCCTATCAGGATTCAGATTTCTCCCCTTCTCAGAAAGCTGTCGTTTCCAATTTTTAGAATAGATATCCTCTCACATTCTCATTCCCATCCTCCTACAACCTCAATTCTTCTCTCCTGCCATCCCTATCCCTCTACCCACTACCTCCTCTCACACCCTCCAAATCTCACTGATCTCCTACAAGACTGCCCACTCCCCCCATCCTCTTCTCTAATTCTTATTACCCCCCACTGCAAAACCCCAAGAAACAGATGCACTAACCATTAGACACCTATTCTCATCACTTCTCTCCCCCTATACCCCACTCTCCCCCACACCACTCCTTCTCCTTCTCCAGATACCTACACCCCCCCCCATCTCCATCCAACTCCCCTTTCCATTCATCTGCTCTCTCTCCTCCCTTTCCCCCCCTATCCCCCCTATCCCTGCACTCCCCCCATCATCCCCCATAACCTCCGCAAAACCACCTCCCCCATCCCCTCGTCTCTCTCCTTCCTTATCATTCTACTTTTCCCTTCACCCTTCCCTAGCCTCCAACTTCCCTGTAACCTCAGCCCATCAACATCAAATGTATAGACATGCACTCTTGCATATACATCTCTCAAATGTACACCACATTCGCTCACTCACTTGCTTACAGTTGCACCCTCCTTAACCTCACGAAAGAATTAAACACTTTAACAGTCACCATTGCAATTACGACATACTCACATCATGGTATACTAACACAACATGCAATTTCAATACATGATTAGTTTATAAAACTTCGTATTCTTTCAACACCTTTCAAACCACCATCCATTCGTCTTCACAATCTATTTATTGAATCGCGGTGCAAAAGGAAACTTTTCGACACAAGAAAATCAAATGAGATAAAACTTTGAAGACAACAGGATCAAGAGGAACAGGGAAAAATTGCTTAGGTAATAAAGTACAGCGGCGACTAGTTTGTCTTTTCTTTTTGTATGGCAAACTATCATTGCAAGTTGCTTCAACACCATAGTAATAGATGTCTGTAACAACTTCAACCTTGTCGCTCTTCAACCACGGCGACCGACCCAAAAGGCGCTCATTTCGCATTATCATCAACCACCACGACAATCAACCCCCCCCCCCCTCACTCCATTCTACATACGTTTACTTGAATGCCTTTCCGAACATCAAGACTTGCATTTGATCGTAGATGGACAAGACACCGGCACCTGCGACACCACGGAGAATGTTGGCACCAGCACCCTTGAAGAGAGACTTAACTCCTTCCTTGGCAACGATTTGACGACCAGCATCCAAGGAAGACTTGTACTTAACGGCCTCACCAGAAGTCATCATCATACGACGACGGATGGTGTCCAATGGGTAAGAAGCGATACCGGCACCAGTGGTGACAGTCCATCCGAGCAAGAAGGATGCAAGGAAGTTACCCTCAAGAGGTCCAACAAGGAGGACTGGCTTGATGGAATCGTACATACCGAAGTAAAGACCACGGTAAACAACGATACCAGCAACGGAAGGACCGAAACCACGGTAGAGACCGGCGATACCATCGGAAGCGAGGGTCTTCTTGTAAACATCGACCAAACCGTTGAATTGACGGTCGCCACCGGTCTTGGCGTTCTTGTTGTCGTTGGCAAGACGGGTACGGGCGTAATCGAGGGAGTAGACGAAGAGGAGGGAAGTGGCACCAGCAGCCTTTTGGATTCAATTAGTATTGGTATAATGAAAGAAATTTGAGTAGAAAACTTACACCACCGGAAGCCAAGTTACCGGCCATCCACTTAGCATATCCATCACGGTCCTTCTTGAAGTTGAACATCGACTTGTAGGTATCACGGAAAGCGAAGTTCAAGGCTTGTGTAGGGAAATAACGGATAACGTTGGCAGTGTTACCTCTCCATAAGGAGGCGACACCCTCTTGTGCGGTGGTACGCTTGAAGCACTCAACGATACCATCGTATTTACGGTCAAGACGACCAGTCTTCAACATCTCATCCTATAAAAAAATTGTATTAGTAAATGTAAACAAGCAAGGTGGGATGGATTTCTTTTTCGGGGTAATGATTTTCCATATTTCAGATACCCGAAATGGAAATTGTGCACATTACCCTCAATCTGTACATATGCATGTGCAAATTGTGGTGTCCGAAAGAAGAAATTGAAACAGAAATGTTCAAGATAAACATACCTGGTTTTGGATCAAGAGCTTGACACGCTCGATGGGAGCAGCAGCGGTCTTGGAGACGGCAGCGGAGACACCGCCCACTATCGCACAAATCAGTATTGTGAAAATTATATCAAAATTCCTCCAAAATCCAGTATTATTTCAATTCCATCGGGAACGATTGGAAAACTTGTCGATTTCGAAGTCAGGGGATAAACGTACTCAAGAAGTCAATGACGAAAGGTGGACTGTTGAAATATTGTCAGTATCATGGTTGACTGGAAAAGATTTATTTGTGCGAACTCGGGGCCAAAATGGGATATTTGTTCGATTGGGAATGCCACTACCAACAACGATGACCTTGAGAATAATTGATGTGGGATAACAAAGATTTGGATGATATTCGAAATATCCTATGTGATCTCTTTCTTGTTTTCATCTCTTGATTCTCTCTTGATATCGTTGTTGATGTAGCATTCCCCAAAATCGAGCAAAAGTCCATCCATATCTGAGCCCTTTCACCAGGAAAACGAGAATCCAGAATTGGTCAAGGGAACGAGATGTAACTTACACGCCCATGACGGACTCCTTCTTTGGTGGTAAGTTGCTCATATTGACGGTATTGATGATCTAAAGATCGGAAAAGGATTGAGAGGAGATGGTATTAAGGTGGTTGATGTTGGGAAAACAAGAAGAAGAATGGGAAGAAGAAGTTGTAATTTTGGCCCCAGGAAAAGATTTTATGTTAACAAGTGTGAAGATGGACAGCTTCCGAAATTACCCACAGAGACAGTGCGCTAAGTGGAAACTAATGACTAAAAGGGTTTAGTCGTTGAGCCGGGTGCGAGGAATTTTTTCTATCCTTAACTTCTCTATCCGCTGCCCGCACTCCCGCACTTTATAGCGAATAGACCGAATAGACGAACGAGATAAAGAGAGAAGATTTCCATATTGAGGTACTTTTTGACTGGATGGCGGCAAAGAATTGATACATACGTTCTGATGGAAATGAAAAAGGGGAAAAAATGTTGAATATTAAATATTATTAAAAATATCAACTCGAAACTTGAGTGTCTGTCTATTTTTGATTCTTTTATAATGAGGGATATCTAATAGGTCAATTCATCTACCTATCTGTCTGTGGTTTTTCTATCCTTGATTATCTATCTTGTTGTTTTCTTTTCTTCTTCGCTTCTGTCTTCACTCCCATCCATTCCTTCACTCGCTACAAACCTCTCACCCTATCTTTTCCGAGGCGTTGGTCTTTTAACCTCGATACATTTTCAAGGCCAAGGGTTCTGGCTACTAGGTATATTATCTACTATAACATCAACAAGCTACCTATCTACCCACGCTACCTTTGAATCATCATGATGGTCGGAATTTTCTCATTTGTATCGAGAGTAAAGAGTCTTCTATAAAACATATCTCCGTTCCATAACTTCCTTTTTGTCTCCATTTCTTTTTTTCCCCTTTACTCTTGGAGAGATTCCTTGCTTTTAAAGTATTTAGTGTACTTGATTGGTGTTTGGAACTGCAATGTCATGCTTTGGTGGGTATGTTGGTTTTTGGCGAGTCAATCAGTAAGCATAGAAAAGTGGTGGTGCTAGTTGTTGGTGAGGTATTTGTATACGAAGAAACAGAACAACCATGATTGCGAAATCGCCATATATTGATGAGTAGGTTGGGCTCCGAGATATGATGAGATTGCTCAATAAAATGCATACGATACGATGGAGATTCACTCAATGAACTGGATTATCGTATTCATGGATTGGAAAGAGTATAGAGTCTACTCCGCGAACTCTCCTCTCTACAATTGCTTTGAGATCGAGAACATAGTGCTATTTGATGGAGGGAGAATTCGGACTGACTTCTCAGAAAGCTCCAGTCTCAGATCAACACTAATGGAATCACACATTTCATCGAAAAGACGCTCCGCTGCCCCTTCGGGTGCTTTAGGGTTGGTGGGTGGTGGAGGAGGTGGTAGACTATTCATCTCTTTAGGTGATCATTGAGGATACTCTTGAGTATACTTAATCATAGGGACTTGAAGGCTTGCTTTAATCATTATGATTGATTATCTCCAAAAGACGCTCCGCTGGCCCTCCGGGGGCCACTGCCGTGGAGGCAGACTAATTGGACGTCGATGTTAAGTTGTGTTGTTAAACTTGGATTCATTGAGAAAACAAAAACAATGATAATTCCAGTCAGGGAAGGCTCTGAGTGATCCTAGAAGAGGCCCGTCTCCAAGGCTATTCTTGAGCATACGACCATCACAACGGTGAGATCGAATAGTGATATTCTACAGAGTCTGACCTGGGGAGTATCATCAACTAACAGAAAGCACCTACTATTATATTTCTCTTCTCTAGAGTGAAGCGAAGAAGCCTCCACGGCAGTGGCCCAGCGGAGCGTCTTGTTCTTCCTGATTGATATAGACAATACGGCTTGAGATTCTCATGGTAATTGATAGATGCGGAGTCAAGAGTAAGGATGTAAAGTACTGCCATTTTACCAGACGAAAGAACCAACCAAATTTCAAGCATGGAAATATCAAATACAAAATCTATCCCTTTACACATCTTTCAGTTGTCCATCATACCAATCATTTATGCTCTTGACTCTCTCTGTATATAAATTTTCATCCCATCTTTCTTCAGACCTCTGTAACCTTACTATCTGGTCTAAGCTTCGGCTTTAGACTGGTGGACTCTATCTTTTCTTGTTGTTTCCCGGGTAACCACACTAACCAAAATAAGCATTAGTGAGTGAAGTAAACAATCCAAACTCGGACCACAATTTACAATAATATCTCCATAAACTTAATATCAGAGTTTGTAATCTTACAATTCTTTTTCCAAGACATCATAACATCATAACGACTGACAGATTTCTGGTTATACAATCAAATTCATTCAACTTGATTCGGACTCAAACCCAATCATGGATTCACCTAAAAAACTCACAGAGAATTGTCCTCCAGGATCTCCATTAAACCAAATATCTCCTGAATGTGCCAATCAACAAAAACAATGGGATTTACCGACATCTCCTACCGCTACAGAGAAGGGTTCGAAATCGAGTAAACATTCAAGAGACAGTTCAGTCAATGAGAAGATTGCTCAATTCAATTCTTTGGCTTATCAAGGGAAACAATTGGAAAGAAAAGCAAATGATGCGGCTTTGAAGCGCGCCATGGTTGGGAGAGAGGAGGCGGAGAGTGAAATGCGCAGATATAGGGATGAAGCTAGGATATTAAGGAGACAAGTTGAGGAAGGAAAAGAACGAGAAAGAAAGGTTGGAGAGAGACTTGAAAGTGTCATGGTATGTCATCAATATGCGCGTCGTTCTGATCATTTGCTAACTTCTCATCTTATAGGAAAATTATGGTCGAGCCAAGGAAACCCATTCACACACACAAGCATTATGGGAAAAGGAAATTCGAAGAGCTCGAAAAGAAGGTTTCAAATCGCAATCGGTCGTTGTCAAATTACAAGAAGAACTCAAATCTTCAAGGGATACATTGAGGATGGTTCAAGGTGGTTTGGAACAAGAAAAAGCACGAAGTGTGAAGAGGGAACAAGAAGCATTCACAGCAAAATATCAACTTGTTGAAGTGCAGGAAAAGTTGACAAGATTACAAGAAAGAATTCAGTTGATCGAACAGGAGAGGGACGCATTTAAGACGATCGCTAAGAATGAAGAAATCGCCAGAATTGCAGCAGAAGGACATATACCATTACCACAATCCACCAAGGACGAATTTCCATCACCAAAGAATGATCAAAGATCCATAGATGCTATGGCATTGGCATCAGGCGCTGGTCAAGAGGAACTTGATGAACTCAGACGCAGATTGGATTGGGAAATTCAAAGAGCAAACCGAGCCCTTGATCAAGTCGAATTTTTGGAGATGGAATCTAGCATTCATACCTGCGAACCAAAATCAAACAAAAGAAAGTCAACCGACACACAAGAACATCGTGAAGATTCGACAAGACAATCCAAAACTCAAAGAACCAGTACAGTTTTTGTACCTTCTGAAGGTATCTTCAAAACTGTACCTGAAGAGTCCGCAGCAGAACCCGTTGAGAATACATCCTTGGACACCAAAATACATTTCAAACAACCATCGGAAAATTCTACTCATCAACGAAGAGAAGTAACTCCTTCTCACGATCCACCAGCTGCGGCTCGTATTTCCGATGCCAACACTTCTTTACTCTCTATCTTTGATGAGCCAACCAGTCCAAAAGTCACTAGATCACTTCAAAGCCCGATCAATCTTCCTAAAAACGAAGTCGAAGACGAGACAAATCCCGAAGATCTAAACGGTTCCACTTCGACCACAATTCATCACCCCCAAACCCATGAACATGAAAATCACGAGCATCACCATGAACACCACCATGAACCTACTTTCCACACAGTATCAACCACAACCCGTATTCCACTTGCTTCTCCCTCAGAAGAACAAAAAATGGAATTAGCACCAAGTACACCAAAGTCTCTCACTTTCCCAAATGGTACCATCGATCCAGCTTTGACAGCAACAGTGTCAAGAGAAGAAGCATTGGCTATGATTAGAGAAAGAAGAGGTAGAGCTAGAAGTTTGGCAGAAGGCAAGATGACTCCGAGAAAGCAGATGGTAGAGGGTGGATCGAGAAGAGATATAAGTGCACCGGCTACCACTGGAACGCCAGTTAGGGGAAGAAGTCAAGGAAGATCTTAGTAGGTCAAGAGATGTGGGTGGGAGGACGAGATGTTTATATTCTGGTGAAGGGGCTAGGGCTTGGGCTGTGAAGGTGTTTAATTTTTCTGGTAATACTTAGGGATGGAATGGTTGGATAGTACATTGTGCAGCAGGGAGCAAGGGAGTTGGAGTTAAAATAGTTATATATCCGTCCGTCCATTTAGCGCCGGAGTTCTTGTCTTTTGTCTTTGGAAAGGAGAGGGCTCGGTATGTGCTGGTTGGATTTGGGGTGGGTTTATGATTTATGAATGGTTGGGTTGGATTGGGTCACTCTTTGAAAATATGGCTCTATTTCTTTTGTTGGATGGCTTTTTTGTGGTTGGATGTTGGAAGGGAGGTAGAGGGTGGGTGGGTTGGGTTGGAGAGTGTCAGATATCAGGGTTGCAGAGTATTGTGTGGTACATTATGAATGTGGAAGTATGCATTCCACGGTAAATAACTAAATAAATGGATAGTATATCATGAATTTCCTCTCTTGTATCTCTGATGCTTTCTCGCTGTCGTTTTTCTTCAGAATAATTGACACTCTAAATGCTTATCTCTCTTACATAGAAAGGTTCTACGATTCCTTCCCCGTTTGAGAGTATGGTGGGTACTGCTGGTGATGATAATGATCGTGATGAGGATGATGAGTATCCATATAGTGTGCTAGGGAATAAATCGATTGATTGATTGATTGATTGATTGACGCAAGGGTTTTTGAGGATTGGTGAGCGAGGGCTGAACTGGGCTGAGCTGGGGGTGAGTGAGGGAATGGATAGTGGACGAAGAGATGGATGGATAGATAGATACGAGAAGAAATAATATATAAGGAGATAGAAAAGCTTGTGAGGATTGGATATACAAAAGTTGAGTTGGGGATCGAGTAGGCGAGAGCGAGGCTGGGCTGGGGGTGATTTGGGAAGTGGATGGATGGTGGGTGGGTATGAGAGGAAAGAATGTATAGGAATGTAGAAGATTTTGTGAGGATTGGATTGGGTTGATGAGGGTTGGATTGGGCTGGGCTGGATGGGGGTATGAGATGGAGAGGGAAGTGAGTGAGTAGATGAGGAAATGGATGGTTGAGTGAATGGTGGACAAGAGATGGATGAGTGGGGAAATGGATGGATGGTAGATGGTGGATATAGATTGGGGCTGTATGCTTGTGTTTTTGAATTGGAATTTGGGTGTTGAGGAGTGGGTGTTAAGGTTGGGTTGGGAAGTGGATTGTAGGAGCTGGGGAATGGGAAATAGGGAATGGGAAATGGGTGGAGTAGTAGATTGAGGAGGAGAAAGGGGGGATAGATTGATAAGGGTTGGTTGTGTTATGTTGTTGATTTGAGATTTGAGATTTGAGATTTGAGATTTGAGATTTGGGTGTTAAGTGTTGAATGGTGTTGGGTGGGTGTTGGAGAGTGGATTGAGGAGTATAGGAGTATAGAGGGGTGGGAAGCAGAGAGGGAATGGGGAATAGGAAATGGGTGGGTGGATGGCGGGGGTAGATTGATGAAGGAGGAGTAAAGGGGGAGGAGAAGGCAGAAGGGAAGAATGGGATAGAAAAGGGAAGGCAAATGGGTGGAGAAATAAAGGATGTTCAGGGATAAAAGAGGGGGTGGGAAGGAGAAGAAGAAGAGGAAATGAGAGAGATTGAAAAAGGGTAAAGAGTGGCAATGGGTAAGAAGTGAGTCAAAGGACAAGTAGAAGAGAAGAGGAGGAAAAAGAAGTGAGTTAGAGCGAGGGAATGTGAAGGGGTGAGAAGTTAGTGAAAGAATGTGAGAGGAGTAAGAAGGGTAAGAAGTGATGGGAATGAGTGAGGGGAATATAAATAGAGAGATAGTGAGATCGAGAGATCAGATGGATGATCGGACCTATAGGAAGACTGTTGAGGGGATTGAAAAGAGTGTTTTGGTGAGTGCGTGGGTGAGTGGTTATGGAGGGTGTAGAGATTGGATAGGATGGGATAAGCGTTGGTCGGTGATAGATAGAAAGGGGGGTTGTTTATAAGGTGATTGACTCATAATAAACAATGAGCTGGATGTTTTGAGCATATATTATTAGAGATTTGCGGAGGGAGAGTATAGCTTTTAATTTCTATTTGCGGACTTGGGATGGAGAGTTTCTTGGGATCAAAAATATGCTCGATTGAAGGCTAAATGGAAATTTGGAAAGAGAAAGGGGAAATTGGGAATGCAGGAGTTTGGGTGTGATGAGAGAAGGGTATATGAGTGAGCATCTTGTCGTTTTTCAACAGATAATAATGGTTT